TAAATATATATATATATATATATATATATATATATATATATATATATATATATATATATAAGTATACACGATATGATGTAGGGCGAAATGACAGTAGTTTGTTGGATTATGTATTGGTAGATAAAAGACTGTTGAGTAGACTTCAGGATGTACATGTTTATAGAGGGGCCACAGATATATCAGATCACTTTCTAGTTGTAGCTACACTGAGAGTAAAAGGTAGATGGGATACAAGGAGAATAGAAGCATCAGGGAAGAGAGAGGTGAAGGTTTATAAACTAAAAGAGGAGGCAGTTAGGGTAAGATAATAAACAGCTATTGGAGGATAGATGGCTAATGAGAGCATAGGCAATGGGTCGAAGAGGTATGGGGTAGGTTATAAAAATGTAGTGTTAGAGTGTTCAGCAGAAGTTTGTGGTTAAGGAAAGTGGGTGCAGGAGGGAAGAGGACAAATGGTGGAATGATGATGTAAAGAGAGTAGTTAAGGGAGAAAAAAAGTTAGCATATGAGAAGTTTTACAAAGTAGAAGTGATGCAAGGAGGGAAGAGTATATGGAGAAAAAGAGAAGTTAGAGAGTGGTGAAGCAATGTAAAAGAGAGCAAATGAAGAGTGGGTGAGATGTTATCAACAAATTTTGTTGAAAATAAGAAAAAGTTTTGGAGTGAGATTAACAAGTTAAGAAAGCCTAGAGAACAAATGGATTTGTCAGTTAAAAATAGAGAGGAGAGTTATTAAATGGAGAGGTAGAGGTATTGGAAGATGGAAGGAATATTTTGAGGAATTGTTAAATGTTGATGAAGATAGGGAAGCTGTGATTTCGTGTATAGGGCAAGGAGGAATAACATCTTGTAGGAGTGAGGAAGAGCCAGTTGTGAGTGTGGGGGAAGTTCGTGAGGCAGTAGGTAAAATGAAAGGGGGTAAAGGCAGCCGGGATTGATGGGATAAAGATAGAAATGTTAAAAGCAGGTGGGGATATAGTTTTGGAGTGGTTGGTGCAATTATTTAATAAATGTATGGAAGAGGTAAGGTACCTAGGGATTGGCAGAGAGCATGCAGTTCCTTTGTAAAAGGAGGCAAAGGGGATAAAAGAGAGTGCAAAATTATAGGGGATAAGTTCATGGTGATGTAACAGTATTTTTGTGATGATATTATTGAAAGGAATTTAAAGAAATTGCGGAGAATAGTTAGTGATGGTATAAGGAGGCTTTGTGAAAGGTAGGAGGGTTGTAGGAACAGGTGTTTACAGTGAACTATTAATATTTTTAAATAAGGCTCTACCGAGCTTTGTGGGCATTAAGGAATTGAAAAGGCGCTAAGAAGGGTGGTTAGGGGCAATGTGTCACATTCAATTGTATGTTTTGGAGGAGGTTACTAAAGCAGAAGATTTTTAAGAATAGTAAAAGGTAGCCAATTAGAGTATCAAAGGGAAATTCTTTTACCCTATTAAAAGTGCGGCTTAGAAGGATTGTGATGTCCCTGGTTGTTTAATATTAAATAGGGGTTGTAAGAAGTAATGCCTTGAGGTTTGACAAGAGCGTGGTTAAAAGAAAAGAATCCCAATACATTGGATTGTCACCTGCTCTTTGCCGATGACACGTTGCTGATGGGAGATTCTGAAGAACGTTCATTTATGGTGGATAATTTGGTAGGGTTGCAAAAGAGAAAACTTAAAGGTGAATACAGGAAAAGAAGTTAATGAGGATAAAAAAGATTAGGGATCAAAGATGATTAATAAGATAGAATGGAGATAAATTGGGGAGGAGGGAAGAATTCGAGAATTTGGGAGATGGAGTGCGGGATGGGCTATGAATATGAAGGTGAATCATAGAATTGATGATGGGAAAAAAGTGAGTGGTGCTTAGAGTATATGTGGAGACAAAGAAACTTTCCTTGGAGGCAAAGAGGGAATGTATGAAGTATAGTTTTACCAACCTCTATATGGGTGTGAAGCTTGGGTGGATAATGGCAGCGAGGAGAGGCTGGAGGCAGTGGAGATGTCATGTCTTGAGGGCAATTGTGGTGTGAATATAATGCAGAGAAATTCGTAGTTTGGAAGTTAGGAGGAGGTGTCGGATTAACCAAAACTGTTGTCCAGAGGGCTGAGGAGGGTTGTTGAGGTGGTTTGGTCATTAGAGAGAATGGAGTCGAAACAGAATGACATGCAAAGCGTATCAGTCTGTAGTGGAAGGAAGGCGGGGTAGGGGTCGTCCTAGGAAAGGGTTGGAGGGAGGGGGTAAAGGAGGTTTTGTGTGCGAGGGGCTTGGACTTCCAGCAAGGCATGCGGAGCGTGTTTGATAGGAGTGAATGGAGACAAATGGTTTTATACTTGACGTGCTGTTGGAGTGTGAGCAAAGGTAATATTTATGAAGGGATTCAGGGAAACCGGCAGCCGGACTTGAGTCCTGGAAATGGGAAGTACATGCCTGCACTTTAAAGGAGGGGTGTTAATGTTGACTTTAAAACTGTAATGTGTAAAGCACCCTTCTGGCAAGACTGTGTGGATGTGAATGATGGATGAAAGTTTTTCTTTTTTTTCGGGCACCCTGCCTGGTGGGAATGGCCTGGTGTAATTAATAAAAAAAAATAAATATATATATTATATATATATATATAATAAGGCCTCAACTTATGATGTTAATGTATTTCTAAAATAACAAAAAGGTACAATACTGTGACTGGAACAATACACAAATAACCTGTATATAGGAGAGAGGAGCTTATGATGACGTTTTGGTCCGACTTGGACAATTTACAGAATCACATTGTGACTTTGTAAATGGTCCAAATTGGACTGAAACATCGTTATCTCCTCTCTCCTATGTACAGGTTATCTGTTTATTTCTGAAAATTCCTTTTAAGTTGAGTGCTCGGTACTCAGAACCTGTTTTTTTCCACAGAAACCCCTATTATAATCAGAGATGCATTCCTAAGTTATAACTGTCCATGTGTAATGTCACATATTTTCTTAACTAAGAAGATTTAATGAATATATTAAGTTCAATAATATTCCTTTTAACTTAAAATAGTATTCAACATTATTAATTTCTACCGATTATTAAACAAAACAGAGCTTATGACGATGTTTTGGTCCAACTTGGACCATTTACAAAAGTGTGACTTTGTAAATGGTCCAAGTTGGACCAAAACATTGTTGCAAATTCCTCTCTTCTATGTGTGGGTTATTTGTGTATTGTTCCAGTCACGGTATTGTGCCTTTTTGTTATTTAAAACAGAGCTATAATATAGTACATGTGTGAAAGAGGGTGAGGGGAGAGGAACAGGATGGGGATGGGAAAGGGTGAGAAGGTAGGGTGTGACATGAGCTCTCCTGGAGTGTGTGTGTAAGGATGTGAGATAGGTTCCATGGAGAGTGTGTGAGGGAGGATTTGACATGAGGTCCCATGGAGTGTGTGTGAGAGAGGGTGTGACATGAGGTTCCATGGCATGTGTGTAGGAAGGGTGTAACATGAGGTCCCATGCCTCGCCCACTGATCATGTCCGGCATGTGGGAGCAGCTAGAAGTTACCACAGCTCAGCCAAACACCCTTAAAAATTGTGAATATTAAATATATGATTCATAACCAATCCCTATCAAACAAAATGAAAATACACAAAGAATTAATGTGTATAGTAAAAAACAGAACAAATATTGTAATATTTATAATTTGGCCCTAAGAAAATTACAAGTACTAAGTTATGGTTCTAGCAAACATGTCAGCTCTACAGATGCATAAAATGAATACAGTGGCACCTCGGTTCTAGTTTTTAATTTGTCCCAGAGAGTCTGATGACAAACAAATTCGACGAAAACTAAAGCAATCTTTCCCATAAGAAACAGTGTACATCCAATTAATCCGTTCCAGATGCCCAAAAATATTAACAAAAAATACATTTTATAGAGAATAACTATAGTTTTACATACAGAAACAGTGAGAAATAAATATAAAGCACTAATTTTAATGGATAAATGAATATTTAAATCAGTTTTACCTTTATTGAAGACTCTTGTTTGTCTGAACTTGCAGCCTCACCATACCTTAACACACTGTGTATGCCAGATCGCTTCTTGAAGTTGTCGAACCAGCCTCTGTTGTCCTTAAATTTACTAACAGAAGCACTCCTTCCAGGCATATTCTTTATGAGATCCGCATGCAACTGCCTTGCCTTTTCACAAATTATTGCCTCCACAACACTATCTCCCGCTAACTGTTTTTCGTTGATCCACACCAACAACAACTTCTCAACATCTTTGATTGTTTGCGATCAATGTGTCGTTAGCACATTTACTCCTTTCGCAACATCAGATTCCTTGATTTCTTTTTTCTTTGCCAGGATAGAAATGATCGTTGATGAGGGCTTCCCGTACATCCTGGCGAGATTGACCACACGTACGCCACTTTCGTACTTTTCTACAAGTTCTTTCTTGAATTCTATCATATTTTTCACCTTCTTTATTAAGGAGCTGACATTTGGAATTTTCTTTGGCCCCATGGTGGCTTATTTAGCAGTTGCACTCAATAAACAAGCACAAAAAAATTGATTATTACGAAATGTTTTGTATGAACGTGCAGGGTAATGTTTACTCGACAACAAAGCCAGACTGATTCAGAATGTGTGCATAGGATGCTTTGTGTGGGCGTGGGGGCGCAGACATGTTTGGTACTGCAGATGAAAACCAAAGTGACAAATGAAAACTCGGACAATATTTTGACGAAAAAGTCGTCGAAAACCAAATTCGATGAAAACCAAGGCAAACGAAAACCAAGGTTCCACTGTATATGCAAGGCATTAATTGAGGAACTTTTAAATGTTGATGAAGAAAGGGAGGTGGTAATTTCATGTACTGGTGAGGGAGGTATAACATCTTTTAGGTGTGAAGAAGAGCAGGATGTGTGGGGGGAGGTGCGTGAGGCATTACGTAGAATGAAAGGGGGTAAAGCAGCTGGAACTGATGGGATCATGACAGAAATGTTAAAAACAGGGATGGGGGATATATAGTGTTGGAGTGATTGGTGTTTTTGTTTAATAAATGCATGAAAGAGGGGAAGGTACCTAGGGATTGGCTGAGAGCATGTATAGTTCCTTTACATAAAGGGAAGGGGGACAAAAGAGACTGTAAAAATTATAGGGGAATAAGTTCACTGAGTGCTAGGTAGTAGGTTGGTAGGCAGCAACTGCCCAGGGAGGTACTACCATCCTGTCGAGTGAGTGTAAAACGAAAGCCTGTAATTGTTTTACATGATGGTAGGAGTGCTGGTGTCTTTTCTGTCTCACAAACATGCAAGATTTCAGGTACGTCTTACTACTTCTACTTACATTTAGGTCACACTACACATGCATGTACAGTGGAACCCCGAATATTGGCCGCTGCTGGTATTGGCCGAATTGTATTTAGGCCGGTTTTTGGGCCGAAATTTTGTTCCATATTAAATTCGATTTTCGTCAGACTTTTCTGGAACAAATTAATGATGTAAACCGAGGTTCCACTGTATATTTTTTTTAATATAATCAATAATCATAACTACAAATCAGTGTTTGTTAATAAGCAATAGGTTCTAAAATGCCACTGTCATAAATGCAAAATGTAGTAAGCCAGGGCCCTATTGCATGAAAAAAATCGTCAAAGGTTATATGCATATAAAAAAATATGATTTTTTTTAGAACTGTCTCCAATAAGTCATTTAAATATATCAAGTGAATATTCCATCAGCAATGGCTGCCATCTTCATGCCACCAAGCGTATAGAGAAGACTCTCCTTATTGGCCTCGTCACCTTCATTTTCCACCCAAAGTTTTAACATATATGCTACCTGGCTCTCCACACTGCCCTCCTTGCTTGCCTTCTCCTTCTCGATAAATTCAATCTGAAAATCATAAAAAACGATTTCACTTTTACAATAAATATTTGGAAAGAGATGCAAATAAAGGAATACTTTTTGAGCTTTACCAAGATAATCTGATGAAAAAATTTAACAAAATTTTCAATCATGGGTATTTTCCACTGTCATGTTGAATACTAATTATAAGGGAAGGGGGGGGGGGGGTAACCAGGTCCTGTCTCCTGACATTTTAGACCCCTATAACAAACATATACTACCTATCTGGATAGATGAAGTCAGAGTATTAATATTATATTCATGGGAAACACTAAGCCTGTAGGGGTCATATAATGCATGGGGAATAGTGAGTAATCAGGTTTGATCCAAGGAAATGGTAGCTCCAATTCCTAAGATTAACCCTTTCAGGATCCAAGAGGCCAAATTTCAAAGTGTGCACCAGGGTCCAAGAATTTAAAAAAAAAAAATTTGTTATTTTATGAAATGGTAGAGAATCTTTTTCTGAAGGTAATTAAACAAAAAGTACGAAATTTGCTGGAAAATTGACAAAATTATGCTCTAGCAAATTTTGATGTGTCAGCGATATTTACGCATCGGTGATTTTGCCGACTTTGACTCCCATTTTAGGCCAGTTACATTATTCCAGTCGACCAAATTCTTAGCTATTTCACTAGTATTACTTCTATTCTATCGATTGAGCACAAGAAATCGCCATGTCAACTATTTCAACTACAAAATAAAGTGATTGGAAAATGGTAATTTGGCCAATTTAATGCGAAGTTCAAAATATTCCAATTTCAAAACAGGGTCCAGAATAAACAATGCAGGCATTCCTGGCACTAAATTAACATTTCCTCTGTTCATTAGTTATATTTTGAGGCTTTACAAATGAATTCCATTTTTATTTTTTATTCACATAATGAATTTTTATTCAAACCAAAAAATAGAAGATTTACTGTTATGCAATATTGTAATAACTGTATAAATAATATCACCATATTTGTGAACATATATTAGACCCACCGGCTAGTGTGTATTAGACGTGCGAGGTCATTTGTTTACTCATGAACATTGGCAAAAATTTAACATTTCCTCTACTTTGAGCTCAGTTTCAAGCCATTTCCAGTACTAAAACAAATCAAAATCATCTCTACTTCTGTAATATATCTTTCATTCTATCAAATGAGACCAAGAAATCGCAAATACAACTATAAAGAAACGTACGAAAAACACTACAAAGTTGCTGTTTTAATCGAAAATTATGGTCTCAGTTTTTTCTCTCATTATGCACTGTGTGCTGCAGGATTTGTTATATGTGGTGCACACATACCACATAGATGTATTCTCTCATATCTAGGCCCAAATTTACCACTCACAGCTTACCAGAGTGAGCTGAGCTCATGGCATAGATCTACGGTTTGGACCCTCAACTCAAAGCCGTAGATCTACGGCATGGACCCTGAAAGGGTTAATAGCTCTTCACCAGTGGAACCTCTTGTCATGACCATAATTCATTCCAAAACTCTGGTCGCGACCCGATTTGGTTATGACCCGAACCTAATTACCCCACGAACTGTATACAGTGGACCCTCGATCAACGATGACATCGGCTAATGATAAAATCGGGTAACGATGCATTTTTGCGTAAAAATATTGGCTCGACCAAAGATGAAAAACTCGGGTAAGGACATTCGTCTTAAACGCGTCCGTCTGTCCGTCCAGCCTGAGCGCCTCAGCTAGTGTGCCATTGTTTACAAGCCAGGGCGGACGGTTCCACACATACATTTGATACATTTTGTATTATTCCATTGTTTTTAGTGCTTGTAACTGCTAAATATGCCAACATGGGCCCAAAGAAAGCTTCTAGTGCCAACCCTGTGGTAACATAAGAACATAAGAATGGAGGAACACTGCAGAAGGCCTACTAGCCTATACCAGGCAGGTCCTTATCAAAATCAAAATGACCTCTACCCAAAGCTACCCAAGAAATTACTCCCATACCCAATGACACAAATCAAATCCAGCCCCTCCCACTCATATACAGTGGACCCCCAACATTCGATATTAATCCATTCCTGAGAATCATCGAATGTCGAAAATATCGAAAGGCGAATTAATTTTCCCCATAAGAAATAATGGAAATCAAATTAATCCGTGCAAGACACCCAAAAGTATGAAAAAATTTTTTTTTACATGAAATATTAAGTTTAATACAATAGAATTACAAAAACAACAATAACAATAGATTAATAACAATAGAATAATTGACACTTACCTTTAATGAAGATCTGGCAATAATTGATGGGATGGGAGGAGGGGAGAGTGTGGATGGTGTTAGTGTTTAGAAGGGGAATCCCCTTCCATTAGGACTTGAGGTATCAAGTCTTTTTCCGGGGTTACTTCCCTGCTTCTTTTAAGAAGAAGGGAAGTCACAATTAAACACTTGTTCAGGTTTCAATCCTTCAGCCTCTATGTACTCCTTGAATTCATGCACATATTTTTCAGCTGCTTTGTGGTCCGAAGTGGCAGCCTCACCATGCCTTACCACACTGTGTATGCCACTATGATTCTTAAATCTTTCAAACCAACCTTTGCTGGCCTTAAATTCACTCACATCACCACTAGTTGCAGGCAATTTCTTTACCAAATCATCATGCAACTGCCTAGCCTTTTCACAAAAGATTGCTTGAGAGATGCTATCTCCTATCTGTTTTTCATTTATCCACACCAATAACAGTCTCTCAACATCTTCTAACACTAGCGATCTGTTTCTAAAACAAAGTTGCACCTTTTGCAACAACAGCTTCCTTGATTGCCATTTTCCTGCTCACTATAGTAGAGATGGTTGATTGGGGTTTACTATACAACCTGGCCAACTCCGAAACGCGCACTATAATTTCGTACTTTGCAATTATGTCTTTCTTCATTTCAATAGTCATTAGCACCTTTTTTCTTGAAGGGTTGGCACTAGAAGCTTTCTTAGGGCCCATGGTGACTTATTTTGCAGAAACAAGCACCAAAAACAGTGATAATATGGAATGTACCGAATGTATCCTTAGAGGTGAGCACACTGCCTGGCTTGTAAACACTGGCACACACGGGGCGGTTCAGGCCACACGTTGACACGTCTCGTATGAATCGCATCGAATAGTGGGTTTTCGATCGAATGTCGAGGCGAAATTTTTGCGTTAAAATGCATCAAATGTCGGATTTATCGAATGTTGATGCCATCAAATGTCGGGGGTCCACTGTATTTGTCCAATCTCTTTTTAAAGCTACCCAATGTCCTAGCCTCAATCAACCTACTGGGAAGATTGTTCCACGCATCCACAACTCTTGTTAGAAAACCAGTACTTACCTATGTCCTTTCTACATCTAAATTTATCCAACTTAAATCCATTATTTCTGGTTCTTACCAGGTTCAACAATCTCAGTACTTTATTAATATCTCCTTTGTTTATGCCCGTCATCCACTTATACACTTCAATGATATCTCCCCTCATTCTACGTCTCTCCAGAGAGTGGAGACTTAAGGCTTTAAGTCTATTATCTTAATATGGGAGATTCCTTACACAGTAAAGGTGAGAAATACTATTGAAATACTCTCGTACCACTGTCAGCTGTTGCTGCACCACGGTCAGCTGCTGCTGTACCACGGTCAGCTACTGCTGCACCACGGTCAGCTGCTGCTGTACCACGGTCAGCTGCTGCTGCACCACGGTCAGCTGCTGCTGTTGCTGCACCACCATCAGCTGCTGCTGCACTATGGTGAGCTGCTGCTGCACCACCGTCAGCTGCTGCTGTACCACGGTCAGCTGCTGCTGCACCACTGTCAGCTGTTGCTGCACTACCATCAGCTGCTGCTGTACCACAGTCAGCTGCTGCTGCACCACCATCAGCTGCTGCTGCACCACCATCAGCTGCTGCTGCACCACCGTCAGCTGTACTACTTGAAGATGTGGAGAGAGTGTTGTTGGTGTGGCTAACCCAAGAAAGTCACTGCGTCATCAAGGACTGTCTAACTTATATCCACTGGGGTTCTTAATCTTGTCCCCCAGGATGTGACCCACACCAGTTGACTAACACCCAGGTGAACAGGAATAAATGCCTGGAACTAGTGCTCATATTGATGAATTTAAGGCCAGCAAAGCTTGGGTTCAGAGATTTAACCCTTTGAGGGTTTTGGTCGTACTAGTACGTCTTACGCGTAGGGGTTTTTGACGTACTAGTACGCATAAATTCTAGCGGCCTCAAATCTAGTGGGAGTAAGCTGGTAGGCCTTCATATGAAAGAATGGGTCTATGTGGTCAGTGTGCACAGTCTAAAAAAAATCCTGCAGCACACAGTGCATAATGAGAAAAAAAAACTTTTACCATTTTTTTGGAATAAATCAGCGACTTTGCAGTGTATTTTCGTATGGTATTTATTGTTGTATTCTAGTTTTCTTGGTCTCATTTTATAGAATGGAAGACATATTACAGAATTTGAGATGATTGTGACTGGTTTTACAATGAAAGGTGCCTTGAAATTGAGCTCAAAGTAGCAGAAATGTTCGATTTTTACCAAACTTCAAAAGTAAACAAATCGTGTCAAGCATGCAATACACGTCAACTGGTGAGTCTAATATTCTTTCACAAGTGCACCAATAATATTTATATCATTTTTTACACTAATGCAGTAGTCTGCATAACAGTAAATCTTATATTTTTTGTGAGAATAAAAATTCGAAGTGGAAAGCAAAAGAATATAAGAGGGGCCTTGAGACGTGACTAATGACTAGAGGAAATGTCATTTTAGTGCCAGGAATGTCTTTCTTGTTTATTCTGGACCCTATTCGGAAATTGGCATCTTTTGAAATTTGTGTGAAATTGGCAAAATTGCTAAATTCAGACCACTGTACTGGATAGTTGAATTTCATAAATGGGTGGTTTCTTGCACCCATTCGATAGAAAAAATGGAGTTCTAGCGAAATATTCATGTTTTTTGTCGACTAGTACAGTGAAATTGGCCGAAAATGGGGCTCAAAGTGGGCAAAATCGCCGATGCGTAAACATCGCCGAGACCGCTAACTTTGCGAGAGCATAATTCCGTAAGTTTTCTATCAAATTTCAAACTTTTGGTGTCTTTATGATCGGGAAAAGATTCTCTATCTTTTCATAAGAGAAAATAATTTTTTTTTTTTAAATTTGGCCGACCCTGAGAACGAGTTTCGGAGAGGGCCTGTCGACCCTCAAAGGGTTAACAATCGTAGTGGCATACACAGTGTGATAAGGCATGGCGAAGATGAAAAATTCCAACCCCAACAAGTGTTCAATTGTGATGAAACAGACCTTTTCTGGAAGAAAATGCCAAACAGGACCTACATTACTCAGGAGGAAAAGGCACTCCCAGGACACAAGCCTATGGCAGACAGGCTAACTCTCATGTTTTGTTGTAATGCTAATGGGGATTGCAAAGTGAAGCCTTTTACTCATGTATCACTCTGAAAATCCCAGACTGTTCAAGAAAAACAGTGTCTCATCACTCATCAATACTCTTCAATAAAGGTAAGTGTCATTTTATTATTTAATGTATTTATTATGCATGTCTCATTGTTTTCTTTGTAGGGAAATGTATATTTCATGCAAATTTTTTTTTTTTTTTAATACTTTTGGCTGACTGGAACGGATTAACTGGATTTCCATTATTTCTTATGGGGAAAATTAATTCGGCTAACAATATATTCGGCTAAGGACAAGCTCTCTGGAATGGATTAAAATTTATATTTAATTAAAATTTACCACTCTTTACCTGTCTAGTCTTAAGTAGTCTGTAAAGAGTAGGATAGTCTGCCCAAAATGCCCCGGCATGTTAGTGGCTTTCTTTGTACCCAACAACACGTTTTAAAATGAAATCACACAAATAAATTGTATTTATGTGTTTTTATGTTTAAACATTCTGCTTTATATTGCAATATATAAAATACATGTAATGAGAAATGGCTAATATGGTACACACAAAGTTAACAAGAAAAATTTTACATATATGCAGTATGATCTCACCTCATCGTCTTCAAATCCAAGCTTCTTGGCAAGGAGCTTCCATTTATCTTTGCAGAGTTTATCAAAATTCTTAGCCAGAGCTTTCTGCTCCTCCTCAGTGATAGCCTTGATATCTGCTCGTTCTTCATCTCCACCATCCTCCTCCATGTCTTCCTCTTCTTCCTTCACCCCATCATTTTGCTCTAGCACAGGGATAACCTTTTCCTCCTCTTTATCATCTTCTTCTTCCACTTTAATATCTGCTGTTAGCTGTGACTGTATTTTTTAAATTGAGATGGAAAAGCAAGTTAAAAAGTAAACAATGTATACTATATAATAAATAAATAAAATCTAAATATAAAAATACTTTTTTTTTTTTCAAATAACTGACCATATCCCGCTGAAGCAGGGTGACTTAAGAAGAAAAATGGAAGATTTTTTTTTTAATTTGATAATTTATACCAAATTTAATTTAGGGGTTACTAGCCCCTTGCTCCCAGCATTTTAGTCGCCTCTTACAGCATGCATGGATAAAAACACTTACAGCGGACCCTTGGGTAACGGCGGCATCGGCTAACACCAAAATCGGCACTTTTTGTGCCAAAATATTGGCTCGGCTAATGCCCAAGAACTCTGTTAAGGACATTCATTCTGAACGTGTCTGCATGGCCTGAGCCCATGTAAAGCCAGTGTACCATTGTTTATAAGCCAATGAGGATGATTCCTTGTGTATGTGCGATATATTTTGTATTATTCCATTGTTTTTAGTGCTTGTAACTGCTAAATAAGCCACCAAGGGCCCAAAGAAAGCTTCTAGTGCCAACCCTGTGATAAAGAAGGAAAGAAGCACAATAGAATTCAAGAAAAAACTCGTAGCAAAGTACCAAAGTGGAGGAGGAAGAGAGAGGGGAGAATGTGCCTTCTGCAGTGATTCAGTGATTTTAAGATATGTACGATACTAAAGCAGCAGATATAGATAAAGGCTAAAGTGCCAGTCAGCGATAAAATGTAGAATTAACAGTGTAGCAAGTAAGCTAAGCGAGTAAGCGACAGAAAAACAACACGAAAGTAACTCTCCAATGTTGTTTGATGTGCATTGGGCCAATGAACATAATGCTGCCCTGTTATCTTCCACCACCCTAAATTTCTGCCAGCATCTCCTCCAAGGTAAGTGTAAATATAAAAGTGTAAGTATAAAAGTAAATCGTCTTTCAACAAACCGGCCATATCCCACCAAGGCAGGATGGCCCAAAAAGAAAAATGAAAGTTTCTCTTTTTAAATTTAGTAATTTATACAGAAGAAGGGGTTACTAGCCCCTTGCTCCTGGCATTTTAGTTGCCTCTTACAACACGCATGGCTTACGGAGGAAGAATTCTGTTCCACTTCCCCATGGAGATAAGAAGAATTAAGCAAGAACAAAAACTAGAAGGAAAATAGAAGAAAACCCAGAGGGGTGTGTATATATATGCTTGTACATGTGTAGTGCGACCTAAGTATAAGTAGAAGTAGCAAGACATACCTGAAATCTTGCATGTTTATGAGACAGACAAAAGACACCAGCAATCCTACCATCAAGTAAAATAATTACAGGCTTTTGTTTTACACTCACTTGGCAGGATGGTAGTACCTCCCTGGGCGGTTGCTGTTTACCAACCTTCTACCTAGATAAAGGTAAATATAAGTGTAAATATAAAATGACCCCAATGGAAATACATAAGTCATTCTGACTTTTTTGGGTTATCCTAGGTACTTTACACATATGCTGCTATGTATGATAATCTATGTATGTAACTGTATTTGTGTGTACCTGAATAAACTTACTTATTTATAAATTAAAATGTAAATATTTCTTATTTATAAATTACATACATTGTTTAAGTATGATAGTGTTGGTGGGTTCCGCTGGTGCCTCCACCACAACCACCACTATGTACAGCTTCTCTCAGTGGCCCTTATAAACCAAACATCAACACTTCCATTGCTTTACTCCTCTCATACATTATGACATTTTATTCATTCTAGAGTATATATCATGTTTCTATGTTATTAATATTGTTTATTATGTCATATTAAATGAATTGTGATAGATAAATAAGCCGCAGAGATGATATTAGCGTCATATTGAAGCATAATAAACTCATCTCCCTCTTGCCTCCTCGTCTTCCATACACCAACGAAAGTCAATGAAGGTAAGTGTGATCTTAAATGCTCATTTATCCATTTTATTAGTGCTTTATATTTATTTGTCATTGTTTTCTGTATGTATATCTATATTTAATCTTTAAAAAAATATTTTTTATTAATACTTTTGGCTGTCTGAAACAGATTAATTGGATTTCCATTATTTCTTATGGGGAAAATTAATTTGGCTAAAGGCAAGCTCTCTGGAACGGACTAATGCTTTTACCCGAGGGTCCACTGTATATATCTATATTTGTGTGTGTGTGTGTGTGTGAGTGTGTGTGTGTGTGTGTGTGTGTGTGTGTGTGTGTGTGTGTGTGTGTGTGTGTGTGTGTGTGTGTGTGTGTGTGTGTGTGTGTGTGTGTGTGTGTGTGTGTGTGTGTGTGTGTGTATATATACACACACATACAGTAGCCCCCAAAATTTGTGGGGGTTATGTTCCAAGACCACCCGTGAATTTGGAAAACTGCGAATTCTGGACGCGATTAAAAAAAATGCCTATAAATCCCCATTTTTATAGTTTAAACCCTAAATATGCCCCAAAACACTTTAATTTAATTTCAAACTCAGCTTTATACATCACCCTTAAAAAACAAAAGAATGTAAAGATAAACTCGTATGCAGTACTGTACTGCTATGTCTCCCGCAGTGCTAGAATGTAAAATACCGATGTTACCCCATATGTACTATAATTCATTTAAGCCTGTTTTCTTTGGCATACTGTAATTCATGCAACACTGTCTTCTTTGGTATACATATGGTAAATATGTGTACCAAATTTACATTACAAAATTATTAAATTATATTTTTCTTAATATTTAGCGTTAAAATGCATAAAAAATTATATATTGCCACGAAAAAAGCCCCCAAAATCCATGAATTTGCAGAGATTTCCACGCACAATTATTAGATAGGTTCTAAGGAAAAATCCATGAATTACTGAAGCCGTGAATTAGGAACCGTGTAAAGTCAAAATATCACAAGTTGAACCACATAAGTTGAGGAGCACTTGTAATGTGCTCAATCTTAGATCTAGTAAGCCACATATTATCAACACTACAAATCATGCAAGTGAATAACTTACAGGTAAATCTTTTGCTAGTTTCTTGATCATGGTGGTAAGATATTCAGGTAATGTGGCAATAGGACTGGCTGAATGAGTGAAGAAATGGGGCGAGCGGCAGGCCAGCAGTCGCAAACCTCGCCACCCAAAGTTGCTGTCATTGACTAGCCTGAAAATTTTATGAAACAATTTAATGAACAAATGAAAACACATCAAGTTACATATCCAAGATGTGTGCATTAATTATCAAACACACAAATAAGGAAATTTTTTATTTTTTAAATATATTGGCTGTAATACAGTGGTACCTTGACTTACAAGTGCCCCAATTTACAAGTTTTCCAAGTTACAAGCTGTCTCTCGGTCGATTTTTCCCTTCGAATTGCGAACCAAAATCCAAGTTATGTGTGAGTTTCAGATACGCCGCCACTAGTTGGCGCAGTGAATGTCACAACAGTGCACATGGTTACCTTGCCGTGGAAGTATCTCTTTTGTGTTGTGCTTGCATTTTGTGCAGTTATTTTGCCAAATTTTTTTTTTCTAACCATGGGTCTAAGAAAGTACAGTGGTCCCTCAATAATCGTCCATAATCTGTTCCTGGAAGTGGGACTTATTATCGAAATGGATGATTTACGAATCAATTTTCCCCATAAGAAATACATAATGTAAATTCAATTAATCCGTTCCTGACACCCAGAAGTATTAAAACAAAAATTTTTTTTACATGAAATATAGATGTAGTACATAAACAATACAGTGGCACATGATGAATTAAACATTAACAGAATAACACTTACCTTTATTGGGGATTCTTCTTTGTGTATGGAAGACTGGAGAAGGAGACAGATTGGATGATTTACTGTTTGGAAGGGGAATCCCCTTCCACCAACACCTCGGGTACCAATTGCTTTTCTGGGGTTACTTCTCTTCTCTGTTTCTTAATGCCACTAGGACCAGCTTGAGAGTCACTGGAGTCCTGTCTCGCAAAAAAACTGTCCAGAGAGCTCTGTTTCTGGCGTCTCTTTAAAACTTCCCTAAAATGGGCCAAGACTCTGTCACTGTACAAGTTGCAGATATGGCTTGCAACATCCTTCTCAGGGTGATGTTTCTCCATAAATCTTTCCATCCTACCCCACATTTCAAAAATCTCCTTAATTTCTGAAGAAGGCACCTTCCTCCATCTCTCTTCCTCCTCCTCTGCAGCAAGATTCTGAGCTGCGATCTGTTGCTCTTCCTGCTGAAGCTCTTGCAGCTCTTCAGTGGTTAACTCTAACTCTTCGTTGTGGTCCTCCACCAACTCTTCCACATCCTCCAAACTCACATTCAACCCCATGGAACTCCCCAGTGCCACAATGGATTTAACAACCGACATAGGCTCATCAGGGTCAGTCCCAAACCCTTCAAAATCCCTCTTATGGACACAATCTGGCCACAATTTTCTCCAAGCAGAGTTCAAAGTCCTGGTAGTCACTCCCTCCCAAGCCTTACCTATAAGGCTTATGCAATGGAGAATACTGAAGTGTTCTTTCCAAAAATCTCGTAGGGTCAAGTGAGTGTCTGAGGTCACATTCAAGCACCTTTCAAACAATGCTTTGGTGTAGAGTTTTTTAAAGTTTGCAATGACCTGCTGGTCCATGGACTGGAGGAGAGGAGTGGTATTCCGGGATAAGAACTTTACTGTGATGAACCCAAACTCCTTCTGAATTAGGTCATCCAAGTTTGGAGGATGAGCAGGTGCATTGTCCATTACTAGGAGGCACTTGAGATCCAATTTCTTTTCCAGGAGGTAATTCTTCACACTAGGGCCAAACACTTCATTGAACCACTCGACGAAAATTTCCCTCGTGACCCATGCCTTATTATTAGATCTCCAAAACACACACAATTTACTCTTCATAACATTATTTTTCTTGAACACTCTGGGATTTTCAGAATGGTACGCTGGTAACGGCTTCACTTTGAAATCCCCACTAGCATTTGCACAGAACATTAGCGTCAGCCTGTCTTTCATAGGCTTGTGTCCTGGCAGCGCCTTTTCTTCCTGAGTAATGTAGGTCCTCTTTGGCATTTTCTTCCAAAAGAGGCCTGTTTCATCACAATTGAACACTTGTTCAGGTTTCAGTCCTTCACTGTTTATGTACACCTTGAATTCATGCACATAATTTTCAGCTGCCTTGTGGTCCGAACTGGCAGCCTCACCATGCCTTACCACACTGTGTATGCCAGTACGCTTCTTAAATCTCTCAAACCAGCCTTTACTGGCTTTAAATTCACTCACATCACCACTAGTTGCAGGCAATTTCTTTACCAAATCGTCATGCAACTGCCTAGCCTTTTCACAAATAAGCGACGTCATAAGACTATCTCCTGCTAATTGTTTCTCATTTATCCACACCAATAATAACTTCTCAACATCTTCGAGTACTGGTGATCTCATTTTTGTCAGCATATTTACCCCCTTTGCAACAACAGCGTCCTTGATTTCCTTTTTCTTGGCTATGATGGAAGATATGGTTGTACGGGATTTGTTATACATCCTGGCCAGTTCGCCCAACACGTATGCCACTATCATATTGTTCAATGATGTTTGTCTTAAATTCAATCATATTTCTCACCTTCTTTACCAAAGGCTTGGCACTAGGAGCTTTCTTTGGAGCCATGGTAGCTTATTTAGCACTTGCAAGCACTAAAATAAATGGAATATTATGAAATATTTCGCTGGAGCACGTGAGGGGACCGTTGCTCACTGGTAAACAATGGCATACTGGCTGGGAAGGAAAGGCCGAGGCTGCTCAGAGCATGAGTACGCGTCCGGGACGAAGGACTATTAGCGAGTTACCGGACCATTTGTGAGCCAATATTTTGACGAAAAAACAGGACTATTTCCGAAATGGACGACTTTCGGGCCGGACAATTGAGGGACCACTGTAAGTGCAAATGACAGTGCTGAGAAGAAGAGGATGATGTCCACTGAATTAAAGCATGAAATCATAGAAAAACACGAGTGAGGTGTGGTGTATTGACTTGGTGAGGCAGTACAAGCGTAGTGTGTAATTTGTGCCTTCTCTGCGAGAAGGCACAAGGCATTTATGTTGATTTACTTCCGAGATATTCACCCAAAATGTAGGTCGGTCTCCTGACTTGGGAAAAAAAAAAACTGAGAAAATCGCTTTTGTTTTAGTGTTTTCTTTATGCAGCATAAACATAATGACATATTTTATTCATTCTAGAGTATATATCATGTTTCTATGTTATTTATATTGTTTATTATGTCATATTAGATCAATTGTGATAGATAAATAAGCCATAGAGTTGATATTAGCATTATATTTTGAGTATTTTCTGCCTCCCGAGAGCCAGGAATTCTGCTGGAACAGATTAATGGCATTTCAGTTAATTTCAATGAGGAAAATTGATATGATATTCAAGCAAATTGAGTTACGAGCTGTGTCACGGAATGAATTAAACTCCCAAGTCAAGGTACCACTGTACAGGTAAAAATATTATAAAATTGGTAATGTTACAAAAAATAAATCTGGTGGGAGAGCTTCGATGGAGAGGAGTAAATGGAATTAAGCTAGGTGTATCTAAAAAAACTAGAGCTGAAGGAGAATTTGTGCCCCATAACAATTATTTTCTCACCTGGTTCAAAATTCCCCAAATATGCTCTTAATATCCCCCAGACTCTTTTTTCTTGTCTACACACATCTCGCCCCCAAGACCATGGACATTTATGATAACCTCCTCACAACCTGCCTTTATTCTAAGCTATACAATTCTTAAATTTAAACACTAACACCAATACCCACTGTTTTTGACGTATAAATACGTCTTACGAGCCAATGTTTCTGACGTATATATACTCAATAATTCTAGCGGCTTCAAATCAAGCGGGAGAAAGCTGGTAGGCCCACATGTGAGAGAATGGGTCTGTGTGGTCAGTGTGCACCACAAAAAAAATCCTGCAGCACACATTGCGTAATGAGAAAAAAAAATGATCGTTTTTTTGGAATAAAACGCCGACGTTCAGGTGTATTTTCGTATAGTATTTATCGTTGTGTTCGCGTTTTCATGGTCTTAGGTGATAAAATGGAAAACATATTACAGAAATAGAGATGATTTTCATTACTTTGACGATGAAAACGACCTTGAAACTGAGCTCAAAGTAGCGGAAATGTTCGATTTTTACCAATGTTCAGGAGTAAATAAATCACACCACACGTCAACTGGGGAGTCTAATATTCTTTCACTAGTGCACTGATATTATTTATACCATTTTTACAATAATGCAGTAGTCTGCATAACAGTAAATTTTGTATTTTTTTGTATGAATAAAAAATCAAAATAGAAAGCAATAATAATATAAGAGGGGCCTAGAGATGTGACTAATGAACAGAGCATATGTAATTTTAGTGCCATGAATGTCTACCTTGTTTATTCTGGACCCTATTTTGAAGTTGGCATCTTTTTTAGTTTGCGTGAAATTGGCCAAATTGCCAATTTCTGACCACCATATTGGGTAGTCCAAATTAGTAAATGGGAGGTTTCTTGTACTCAGCTGATAGATAAAATGGAGTTGTAAAGAAATAGCTATGAGTTTGGTCAACTGGAACAATGGAATTGGCTGAAAATAGGGCTCAAAGTCGGCGAAATCGCCGATACGCATATGTCGCCAAGACCGCTAACTTCGCGGGAGCATAATTCCATGAGTTTTCGACCAAATTTCGAACTTTTGGTGTCATTACCATCGGGAAAAGATTCTCTATCATTTCATAAGAAAAAATAATTTTTTTTTTTTTCAAAAATTGAGCGACATAGAATGACAGTTTCAGAAAGGGGCCTGAAACAGTCAAAGGGTTAATTACTTAGTGTTTTTTTTTTAAACATCAGCTGTCTCCCACCAAGACAGGGTGACCCGAAAAAGGAGAAACACTTTCGCTATCACTCACTCCATCACTGTCTTTTCAAAGGAATGCCAACAATACAGCTCAGATGTCAGTCTACATGGCAATATTCCCATCCCTTCTTCAGAATGCAGGCACTGTAGTTCCCACCTCCAGGACTCAAGTTTGGTTAACCGGTTTCCCTGAATCCCTTTATAAATGTAATCATATTCACACTCCAACAGCAAGTCAAGTGATAAAAACCACTTGCCTCCACTCACTCCTATCTAACACATTCATGCAAGCCTGTTCGACATCCAAGTTCCTCAGATACAAAACCTCCTTTACCCCCTCCCTCCAACTTTTCCTAAGATAACCCTTATCCTGCCTTCCCTCCACCACAGATTTATATGCTCTCCAAGTCATCCTATTTTGTTCCATCCTCTCTAAACGTCCAAACCACCTCAATAACCCTTTCTCAGCTCTCTGGGTAATACTTTTAGTAACCCAGTACCTTATCTCCAAAAAGTATGAATTCTCTGCATAATATTCACACCACACATTTAATATTACTGCTATTCCTCCTTTAGCTCTAGTTCTGTCAGATACACCCAATTTAACCCTTTTAGCTTATTTTGCTTAATGCTAAGACATGCAGCTTCTTTTCATTCCCAACATTTGCAATTATTTGCTTCTTCACATCTCTATTACACTAATGCATATTTGACAACCCCCCCCCCCTTTTTTTTTATTAGTAACTGATACAGAAGGGATACAATTTATGCATGAAAGAAGGAAAAGTACCTAAGTATTGGCAAAGAATATACACTGTTTCTCTTTATTAAGGCAAAAAAGAGACAAAAGAGAATGTAAAAATTACTGGGGAATAGGCCTAATGAGTATACATACCAGGTAAAGTGTATGGTAAAATTATTATTGTAAATGCTCGGGATAAGACAAAGAAGGATTGCTGAAAAATAATGAAGATTTAGGAAAGGTTTAGGATGTGTAAACCAAGTGTTTACACTGAAACATACAAGAGAACCTTTTTGTTACATTTATGGATTTAGAAAAGGCATATTATATGGTGGATAAGAGTAATGTTGCTAATGTATGAAATAGGTAGAAGGTTACTAAAAACAGTAAAGAGTTTTTATACAGAAAGTGAGATTCAGATTAAGTCTATTTAAGAGAGAGAGGAGGACTATTTTCCAGGAAAAGTAGGCCTTAGAAAGGGATGTGTGATTTCACCATGGCTGTTAAAACATATTTTGAGATGGGACTGTAAAAAAATACAGCTAGCCCTCCACCTTCATGAGCCCCACTTTCGCGAGCTCCGCTTTCGCAAGCTCCACTTTTGCGAGCTTCGAACATTCGCGAATGCCAACTCACCTGGTTTTCATGTGTTTTATGTTATGTTTTCATGTGTTTTATGACTGTTCATGGTTCAAAAGGTAAAGGAAGCAGTATTGTTAGTCTAAGTAAATGCTATTATTATATTTCCCTACAATATATTTGCACATCAAAATATTCACAAACACTAAAGTACAGTATTATTATACAGTATTTCCCTACATGATATTTGCACACCAAACATTCACGAATTTTCAAGATTCGCCAGGTTCTTGATCCCCTAACCCTTGCGAATGTGGAGAACCTCCTGTAAAGTGAATGCTAGGGTGTTAGGGAGAGGTGAAGGATTAAAAACAAGGAATCTGACATGAACTGGGAACTGTTATAATTACTCTTTGTCAATGACAGTTCTTTTGGAAGATTCTACAGAAAAGTTATAAAGATTGGTGGAGGAGCTTGGGAGGGAGGATGGATGGAGAGAGGGAGGATGCTGGTGAGGGCTCTTGATCTAAGGAATTGTATCTGTGCTCCAGTTCCCTAAATTAAGCCTGAATACCTTCCATCCTCTCCCTCCCCACAGGTGCTGTATAATCCTACGGGTTTAGTGCTTCCCCATTACAATAATAATAATAATAATAACAGACTCCATGGGGAAGTGGAACAGAATTCTTCCTCTGTAAGCCATGCATGTCGTAAGAGGCGACTAAAGTGCCGGGAGCAAGGGGCTAGTAACCCCTTCTTCTGTATATATTACTAAATTTAAAAGGAGAAACTTTCGTTTTCCCTTTTGGGCCACCCTGCCTCGGTGGGATATGGCCGGTTTGTTGAAAGAAAAGAAAAAGAATAATAACAGAAAAGAGCAAGATGACAAGAGTAATAAAAATTTAGGTAATAAAGTATTGGATATCAGATTGAGGGGAAAGCATACAGAGGAAGTGAATGTATTTAGATATACGTACTTGGAAGTGGATGCATTGATAAATGGGTGTATGAAAGATGACGTAAACCATGGAATAGATGAGGAAACAAGGTAGATGGTGTGTTGAGGCCTCTGTAGAAAGAAAGTTTATCTCTGGAAATGTAAAGGGGAATATACCAGAGAAAAATGTGAGGCATGGTCCTTAAATGTTGCAGCAAGATAGAGGCTGGAGGCAGTGGAGATGTTATATAGAGAATTAGGAGCCCAGGAATTAGAAGATAGTGTTGGATTAAAAAATAAGGGTATAATTCATTGAGTAGATGAGGGAAGTTGTTGAAGAAACTTGGCCATTCAGAAAGTATTGACCAGAATAATAAAAGTAATAATAATAATAACTGGGTAGTAGGTTGGTAGACAGCAACCACCCAGGGAGGTACTACCATCCTATCAAGTGAGTGTAAAACACAAGCCTGTAATTGTTTATAATAAGACGAGGAAGTTTGTCTTGTCAATTCCTTGTTCTCTTGCATACTGATAAACAAGGGTTTGGAGATGGTTATTTGATCACTGAGCAGTAGACAGCTGTAAGGCACCTGTGCATGCTTTATTAGCTGATGGCTGTGGGTTGGTCGTTTGTAATCAGCCAGTCCACAACCAGCTTACCTAAGGTCTTGTAAATCTCTGAACAGAAATATTTTCATGTCTTAGCCACTTTTTTTTAAATTTTACAGTACCTAAATCCAGGCAGAACCACATACTAATATTTTTTTAATATAAATAAGAATAGTGTGCAATTAACCCTTTCAGGGTCCGTCCCGTAGATCTACGGCTTTACGTTCAGGGTCCAAACCGTAGATCTACGTCATGAGCTCAGCTCACTCTGATAAACTGTGAGTGGTACATTTGGGCCTAGATATGAGAGAATACATCTATGTGGTATGTGTGCACCACATAAAACAGATCCTGCAGCACACTGTGTATAATGAGAGAAAAAAACTGAAATCATGATTTTTCGATTAAAACAGCGACTTTGCAGTGTTTTTTCGTATGCTTTTTATAGTTGTATTTGCGATTTCTTGGTCTCATTTGATAGAATGGAAGACATATTACAGAAATAGAGATGATTTTGATTGGTTTTAGCACTGAAAATGGCTTGAAACTGAGCTCAAAGTAGCAGAAATGTTAAATTTTTGCCGATATTCAAGAGTAAACAAACGACCTCACACGTCTAATACACGCCAGCTGGTGGGTCTAATATATATTAGCATTCACAAATATGGTGATGATATTTATACAATTATTACAGTATTGCATAACAGTAAATCTTCTATTTTTTGGTGTGAATAAAAATTCATTATGTGAATAAAAAATCAAAATGGAATTTATTTGTAAAGCCTCAAAATGTAACTAATGAACAGAGGAAATGTTAGTTTAGTTCCAGGAATACCTACATTGTTTATTCTGGACCCTATTTTGAAATTGGAATATTTTGAACTTTGTGTTAAATTGGCCAAATTAACAATTTCCGATCACTTTAATTTGTAGTTGAAACAGTTGACTTGGCGATTTCTTGTGCTCAATCAATAGAATAGAAGTAATACTAGTGAAATAGCTAAGAATTTGGTTGACTGGAATAATGTAATTGGCCTAAAATGGGAGTCAAAGTCGGCAAAATCGCTGATTCGTAAATATCGCTGACACATCAAAATTCGCGAGAGCATAATTTCGTCAATTTTCCATCAAATTTCGTACTTTTTGTTTTATTACCTTCACAAAAAGATTCTCTACCATTTCATAAGAAAAAATAAATTTTTTTTTTTTTGAAAAGGACACTGGGGCACCACTTCAGATTTGGGCCTTGGACCCTGAAGGGGTTAAAAATGCATTACATAGGTGTGCACTACGAGAAGTCTGTTTGTGCTTCTATTTATGAATATTGTTTCTGACTCGAGAAGTCTTATTAACACAACTGTAAACGAACAAGATTTGAACCCATGGCAAGTCTCAGTCAAAATTGGCAGGACATTGTTTGAACAGCAGCACCATGGTGTAATGATTCCAGCAATGGCCTGCTAATTTTAGGGCTAGCTTACAATGACTGTAAATCTTGTCTATTCTGTGAGTAACGAATTATGTAGTTTTAAATAATAAATAAATGTTGCAGGTGCACAACCACACAATTTTAAAACAAATGAGGCAAGTAAAAATGGGGATTTTTTTTTGTTTTAGATTAGGCCAACCCCATTCCTAAATTCACGGTAGTTTCCACCGAGGACATGTCAAGAATATAGAACACTATATATATAGTAAATTAAGAACTTACCTGTCCTGTTCTTTCAGTTCTGACTTTGGACTAAGCTGCTCAATAGCTGGAGTGAAGTAGGTCTCAAGCGCTGGTACAAAGTCTCGATCAAGCATCTTGCATGCTTCCAGGTTATTAGTATTCAGGTTCCAAAGACGAGTCATTTCAGAACTACAAGGAAAAATATAAAAACAATTCTTAATCTTTAATATTAAATGCAGTTAAAAGACTCTTATATACTGTACTTACAATATAGAATTATGTTTATTCTGTATATACAGTGGAACATATACAGTGGAACCCTGGCTTACAAGTGCCCCATCATACGAGTTTTTCAGGAAACGAGCAGTCGCTTGGTCAATTTTTTGTTTCTGGACACAAGCAAAAATTCAGGATGTGAGCTTCTCCCTCAAGGGAGGTTCCTTGATGCTGGTGAGGGGCTCTTGATCTAAGGAATTGTATCTGTGCTCCAGTTCCCTAAATTAAGCCTGAATACCTTCCATCCTCTCCCTCCCCACAGGTGCTGCATAATCCTATGGGTTTAGTGCTTCCCCATTACAATAATAATAATATAATATAATAATATGCATAATAATACTATAATAATACAGTAGACCGTCGTTTAACATGGTAGTTACGTTCCTGAAAACACAGTGTTAGACAAAACTGTGTGAGACAAACTGAAGAACTTATGGGAAAAATAGGGTTACATTCCTGGGAGCCCCCAAAAAACCAAACAACTTTTTTTTAGACCTTCAGATCTTAAAAAATAAAAGGGAATGTGTAATTGTGGTGCATTGTCATGATATATTACTGCTTAAGACTACAAATGCAATAGAAATAATAGTATTTCTTACCTTAAATTGTGGGTAATGGTGTTTGTGGATGATTGTGAAGAGAGTGGATATGGATGGTGTGGCCCTACTGGGCTGAGGTGGATGGTTGTTGGTTGTCGGCAGAAGTGAATGGTAGAGGTTCTGGTACCGAAGTTGATGGTTGTACTGGAGTGTGCATAAATTCTGTAATGGATCTCTGGGCTCTTTAACCCTGCAGTACATTATACAGCTGATGGTAAGGCATCATCAGCTGGTCTAGACCCCGTTTCAAAGCACTGCTTCTAAATTTGTTATTGTATAATTATACTATTACTATCAATAAATAATACCTACCTACCGTACTTATTCCAGAATATTAGGTATAACATAAATAACGTAGAAGCATGATAAAGATGCACAAATTAATAAAAACTGACTCCTATGCACACAGTCAACAAACCCTATCATCATGTCACACTTGTCGACTAGTCGCATATTGTATGTATAGCAGCTGGCTTTACAATAGGTTCATAGTTGTGCTTGCTCAGTCTGTCTGTTTGTACCATCTCGTTTCTGTGGATGGTTGACAGCAACGTCACGTCCAGTTTGTCATGCCACATCAGTGCCATGATGTCATTGGCATGAAACGCTTGCACTACACTTCCTCCAGTGAACCTTGGCATGTGTTTTCTACTTCTCACTGTTCCACTTATATCAGTATTGTTCACATGTAGGAAGTCAGCAAGCATAGGGCTTGTATACCAGTTGTCTGTGAACAATGTATGACCCTTGTCAAGGTATGGCTGCATCATCTTGCTAACATCCCCAGAAATGCCCAGCATGCACCTGGTATCGTCGAGTGTGTTTTCCCCTGTGTAGATAACGACATCCAACACAAGACCAGTCTCACAGTCACACATAACAAAGAGCTTTATACCAAAGGAATTTTTTTTTTTTGTTATTAACACTGGCCGATTCCCACCAAGGCAGGGTGGCCCGAAAAAGAAAAACTTTCATCATCATTCACTCCATCACTGTCTTGCCAGAAGGGTGCTTTACACTACAGTTTTTAAACTGCAACATTAACACCCCTCCTTCAGAGAGCAGGCACTGTACTTCCCATCTCCAGGACTCAAGTCTGGCCTGCCGGTTTCCCTGAACCCCTTCATAAATGTTACTTTGCTCACACTCCAACAGCACATCAAGTATTAAAAACCATTTGTCTCCATTCACTCCTATCAAACACGCTCACGCATGCCTGCTGGAAGTCCAAGCCCCTCGCACACAAAACCTCCTTTACCCCCTCCCTCCAACCTTTCCTAGGCCGACCCCTACCCCGCCTTCCTTCCACTACAGACTGATACACTCTTGAAGTCACTCTGTTTCGCTCCATTCTCTCTACATGTCCGAACCACCTCAACAACCCTTCCTCAGCCCTCTGGACAACAGTTTTGGTAATCCCACACCTCCTCCTAACTTCCAAACTACGAATTCTCTGCATTATATTCACACCACACATTGCCCTCAGACATGACATCTCCACTGCCTCCAGCCTTCTCCTCGCTGCAACATTCATCACCCATGCTTCACACCCATATAAGAGCGTTGGTAAAACTATACTCTCATACATTCCCCTCTTTGCCTCCAAGGACAAAGTTCTTTGTCTCCACAGACTCCTAAGTGCACCACTCACCCTTTTCCCCTCATCAATTCTATGATTCACCTCATCTTTCATAGACCCATCCGCTGACACGTCCACTCCCAAATATCTGAATACATTCACCTCCTCCATACTCTCTCCCTCCAATCTGATATCCAATCTTTCATCACCTAATCTTTTTGTTATCCTCATAACCTTACTCTTTCCTGTATTCACTTTTAATTTTCTTCTTTTGCACACCCTACCAAATTCATCACCAATCTCTGCAACTTCTCTTCAGAATCTCCCAAGAGCACAGTGTCATCAGCAAAGAGCAACTGTGACAACTCCCACTTTATGTGTGATTCTTTATCTTTTAACTCCACACCTCTTGCCAAGACCCTCGCATTTACTTCTCTTACAACCCCATCTATAAATATATTAAACAACCACGGTGACATCACACATCCTTGTCTAAGGCCTACTTTTACTGGGAAATAATTTCCCTCTTTCCTACATACTCTAACTTGAGCCTCACTATCCTTGTAAAAACTCTTCACTGCTTTCAGTAACCTACCTCCTACACCATACACCTGCAACATCTGCCACACTGCCCCCCTATCCACCCTGTCATACGCCTTTTCCAAATCCATAAATGCCACAAAGACCTCTTTAGCCTTATCTAAATACTGTTCACTTATATGTTTCACTGTAAACACCTGGTCCACACACCCCCTACCTTTCCTAAAGCCTCCTTGTTCATCTGCTATCCTATTCTCCGTCTTACTCTTAATTCTTTCAATAATAACTCTACCATACACTTAACCAGGTATACTCAACAGACTTATCCCCCTATAATTTTTGCACTCTCTTTTGTCCCCTTTGCCTTTATACAAAGAAACTATGCATGATCTCTGCCAATCCCTAGGTACCTTACCCTCTTCCATACATTTATTAAATAATTGCACCAACCACTCCAAAACTATATCCCCACCTGCTTTTAACATATTTATCTTTATCCCATCAATCCCGGCTGCCTTACCCCCTGTCATTTTACCTACTGCTTCACGAACTTCCCCCACACTCACAACTGGCTCTTCCTCACTCCTACAAGATGTTATTCCTCCTTGCCCTATACACGAAATCACAGCTTCCCTATCTTCATCAACATTTAACAATTCCTCAAAATATTCCCTCCATCTTCCCAATACCTCTAACTCTCCATTTAATAACTCTCCTCTCCTATTTTTAACTGACAAATCCATTTTTTCTCTAGGCTTCCTTAACTTGTTAATCTCACTCCAAAACTTTTTCTTATTTTCAACAAAATTTGTTGATAACATCTCACCCACTCTCTCATTTGCTCTCTTTTTACATTGCTTCACCACTCTCTTAACCTCTCTCTTTTTCTCCATATACTCTTCCCTCCTTGCATCACTTCTACTTTATATATTGTTTGAATGACAGTCGTCCCTTGAACAGAATCAAGGACTCGTCAACAACAATATTCTTGAATGGATAAAAGTAGGCACTGAATTTTTGCTTCAGATACATAAACAATTCCCTGATTTTGTACAGGAGGTCATTTCGGTTTGGCATATTCCTGTCTGAGAAGTGTAACATTCATAGCAGCAGAGTGAATCTGTTGCAGGGGAGGAGGTCAGAGAAGACTGGAGTACTGATGAAGTGGTCTGTGGACCAGTAGTGTGCTATATTGTTCTAATACATGTGTGGCATATGCATGATTGTGCCAAGGAATAAATATATTTCAGCCACAGTTGTATCTTTCCACCTGTGCAGCTGTGACGATTCTGAAACATCTTTGTGGTCCATTGTATACTAGTAGTAGATGTTGGTCTGGATAACAATCAGGTTCATTATCGGTTCATCAATGTATAGTTGAAAATAGTCTAACTCTGTAGACTCATTTGTGATGGGACAGTGTAGCATGATACCACTTCTACTGGCATCAAAATTGAAAGGATGTGGCATGAATGGTGTACTTTCTGTCCAGTTCCATTCGTGGTCACATGGTGTAGGGTGGACCTGTGGCATGGGGTGTGGGGGAGCAGGAGGGACAGGAGTGGAGGCAACACATGTTTGAGAGGGTGCCAGGTGGTCCTTTGTCTGCCCACCCACCATGCCACGAGGTCCAGGCACCATGCCACCAACCTCCTCTTCCTCCATCCCAGCACATTCACCTTCATGATCGCTATCACTATCACTAGCTGGGGTTTGGGATCGTGACCTGCCACGACCTTTGCCGCCGACTACATATGGCACACTGCCTGAACGTAGGTTACGACGCCTAAAAGTACGTTTCACTGGGGAATAATGATAATCACCGTCACTTGGCGAATCCTCTATGGGCATAAAATTGATTTCATCATCGTCACTTATATCACTTACACTATCATCATCACCATAATGCTTGGAAAATTATAATTTCCTCTTGCAGAGTTGCCTTTGGGTAGTAATGCTAGCAACCCCAGAGGTACTGGGCTGAGGGTCTGGTATGGCCACACTGTCCACCCCAGAGGTGATGGGCTGGGGATCATCTGGGTTATCATCAACAGTTTCACTAATTCCTTGAACATTAGTGGCTATATCAGTGTCAAATTCACTAACCTCATGTTGTTACACTTTCCGAGAATAGTAGAGTGTTAATACGATGAGGCGTGAGTGAATCACGGGGGTTTGCCATGATGTTAACGCAA